AAAGTAAAATAAGGTCAATTCAACAATCAAATACACACCTCTATGCAGGAGACTGACTATAGACCACATCCAATGTAAGATAGCTGATACTATTAAACTCTAGTGTGACAGCTGATCAACTGAGTTGCAACAAAGAACTTTGAACAGAAGTCCAACAGCTCAAGTTGCTGCAATACATATTGTAGCACACAAAGGCAGAGAGAAAAGAGAATCAAAAGAATCATAATGAGCAGAAAAGTGAAAGAACAGTGTTATGGAAAAACATGATGGTTTAATAGATATGGGACATTACAAAACAGAAATATTAGTGTAGATAAAATAAGACAGAAATGATTGTGCCTCTGATCACCGATTGATATCAGCTAGAGAACCGCTGATAACATGGAAGTAATGGACATTTGTTTCGTCCTAGCTCTAGACCTTTCAGCATGATCCCACCAGTAGGGGTAGAAGGAGCCAAGAGCTTTATATAACTAGACGAGCTGGTTTGCCATTCAGTCCTTAGGAGTGAGTTCACTGGGCCATTTGGTTCCATCCCAATGGTTGAATGTCCAACAGACTCATCTCATAATCTGAGGTTCCGCGTTGTATCCCTGGGGAAGTGATGGTTGTGTACCATTAGAGAAACCCGAACGAGGACGAAACAAAAACCCAGTACTCTCAGGCTCTCAATGTTTTTCTGAATAATATAAATCTGTGATCAAATCCTTACAAACTAATACTTGAAAAAGAAACGATTTCAAAGAATGACGCAATGTCAAAACAGTCTTTCAATCAATCAGCAAATAGTAAGCTAGAACCAATATACGTAGAGTATTTTGAATTATTATTATTATCATAAGTCATGAAACAACAAAATCATATGGTGGAATACAGTGCATGAACTTATAAGTGGTTATTAACTTGCATGATATAACGGCTAAAAATAAAATGTTCAAGTCATTGGACAATCAATTTCTTGTGTAAAAATAATGTAGTGCTTCAAAAAAAAAACAACATTAGTACAGAATTAATTTTGTTCGAATTAAAATTCAATGAATTCAAGTATTATCTGTATGTGTGAATTGCATAAAGCTTTATGTTGAATTATTCTGTCAACTAATTCCAACCATATTAAATTAAACAATGTGATCTACTTATGGTTGATGATAATTGACTATATTGACATGCTGGTGCGTCTGTAGCACAGCCGTAGAATGCAAGCCAGCCATGCAGGTGGCTCGGTGTTCAATCCCCGGCCACTGATCCACTCCTTTACCTCATTAAGCCAGTAATAAGACTGGTGAAAAGGGAAGATTAGGCATGAGGCTAGCGACCCCATCCCGTAAAAATATACCACCAATGCTACTGAAACTTAAAGCCTCTAGCTTGCAGCCCTATGTTCCACGGGAAACGTAAAGGAATAAAAAACAGAGATTGAAATGCTGGCTCTTCATACGGATGCTTCGGCTTCGTATAACGGTTAATACGAAGTAATTTGCATTGACGATGACTAACAGAGTTATCCAGAATATCCACATTTCGTCCTTTTTCGGACTCATCAGTCGGATGTCCTTGCATTATTCCCAGTGAGTGATGACAGTGTTCTCACTAAGGCTGCACACTCTATACCCATTGTTTCAATCGCCAAAACCTTCATAACCTAACAGATAACTTCATGATAATCCTTGGACATCGTTCAGGCGTCCGTACTAAGAGCTGACGTGTCAACAGACACTAAGATTAGCATAATCAATCAGAGGGGAATTCAAATAATTGTGCATTTACTGATATAAATCCATTGTTAGACACATAAATTGCTAAAAGTATTGTTAACGTACAGAAATGCACATATATTATCTCTGCAATACAACTCTTATTCTACATAAAAATGTCGATCAGGCTTACTTACTACTGCTTTGCACACAACAGTATTCAGAAGTCACTTCCTAGAAGTCAATTATTTTATACTTAAGGAAAAACGCCTACCATATACCAACAACAAAGAAATATGCAACATAAACATGAGCAAACAATCACACGACAGCGTAAAGAAAATATTATGATCATACAAAACCACTTCCTTAGACCATTGGAAATGACTTTATTGTTATAGTCACATGCCATTAACACTAGAGTCCATAGATCATCTAATCTGAAAACAATCAAAACTAATGGGACGAGGGTTTTTTCCATATAACAGCCTATAAATCACAAATAATTTGTAATGGTTGTACAACCTGAAACATTCAAAGTAGGAGTCGAAACGAAGACTGACTGGTTGAAACATAAGTATTAAAGTCAGTTAGTTACATATCCACGGAATACAACTATAAGACGAATAATAATCACGTGTATTCACTCCTTTACCTCGCTAAGACACAAATAATGCTGGTAAAGAGGAAAGGTTGGTCATGAGGCTAGCAACCCCATCCTGTAAAACAAACACTGCTAAAGAAACTTCAAGCCACTAGCTTGAAGCCCTATGTTCCACTGGGGAACGTGAAGGAAAGAAGTATTCACTGAATATGATCATAACCAAAAAACCATGAATTTTAATGTTTTCATAACATAAACAACAACCTCAAATGAAATTCAAATCTTGGGATTTCTTGGATGGTTAACAAAGATTTTTTCATAAGACGTTATTATCAGTCATTCCTTTAGCGTTTGGAGTGAAACATGGGCCTCCAGGCTTGGATTCCCAGTAGCCAACAAGTTTCTCTTTCGGAGTGGGATTGCTAGCCTTATGCCCAACTATCCCAAACTTTTTGTCTTCCAGTTAACTAAGTGAGATCTAGGAGTGTGTTAGCCGAGAATCGAACTCCGGACCAGATGTACGGTTGGTGAGCATCCCATCATTAAACTACCGACGACATCAGATTGAACGAAGGATATATACGGTATAGAAAGTTTTAAATACAGAATAGAACTTAGTTTAACGCGATACTAATCTGCTTTAACGGGAAGACATTGTGACACTCTCCACCAGCACAATATCAAATGTATACTGCTTGGGAAACAGCTGCCTAGTGTTCCCTGTTGGTTTGCAGTAGTCCTCTAACTAATACTAATCTGTGATTAAAGTTGAAAACGCTTAGAATCTATTTGGTCTTTAAAAGGTGACAGTGGTTCTGACAAAATAAATGACATGCATATACACAGATTTCATCCTAGTCAAAGAAATTTCCCGCCATATTTTAAAATCGTATAGTTTACTTGTTACTACACAATAATATTACCTAGAGCCTACTATACAGTTAAAAGGAGAGACTCTGCAACCATAGAAGTCAGTTTAATCGGGTGGTATGTACATAGTTTTATGAAACAAAAATACAAAAGCTATCTTCAGAATTCCCATTATTTCTCATATACTGACACATTTTACTAGGTTATAAATAGAACAGGTTTACTGTGGAATTTCGGTTTCGAAAGATCTACAAGTTTATAAGTATAGAGCTAGGACAGTGTGGCAGAGTATAATTCCATCACACAGTAAATACTCACATAACTTTCCAGTTTCGATTATATATTTCCATTATTTCTTATCACTTGATTTTACTGGCAAAAATATTTTCCATAGCTGCGGTATTGTTGTTGTGTCATTCTTATTACACATATAACGGGTAGACTCGATAAACAAGAACTCAGTAATTAACCTCTCCCTCCACCTACCTACTCATATTTCTTTTTAGAACTGTAGCTTTGTTCTACCTTATTGTTTAATTGTGTGCTAACACAATCTTCGTGCGGTTAGTCAACCTATGTTCTAATAATGACTACTCTGATCTACTGGTTTCATCTATGCAGTTGACTTCACATTCATTGCAAACCATTTCGTAGACCATATTATTTTGTCTAATTGGTTCAATATTGTCTTTTATCCTATAGAGCTTGTTTCTAGGTGAATTTGTAGGCTTAAATGCCACTATAATCCTACTTTACTAAGAATTTTATGTAGAGTTTCAGATGTACTTTTCTTATATGGTAAAAATGTAGTTGTCTTAAATTCTTCTTTATTTAAGTTATGGTCAATATTCTCACCGCTATTTTTCCTTCATTTTGGGTTTTTTGGTTGTCTAAATGAACTTTACAGGATAGTTATTTAACATCAATGCTTCTTCTATCTGTTTCATATTACTACTTAGGTTTTTTGAAGTGCTACTTAGAAGTATTGCTCTGTTTGCCTTTATGGATAACAGATGAGATGAATTGAGGTCTAAATATCTATTAGGAAGCGCGTTGACTTTTTATGAAAGTCATCAGTAAACATTACTGTATCAATGTGTTTTTATCAAATATGTTTACTCTATGTATGTATACATCGCTTTTTTCTCGTATGCTTCTTTCTTCCGTTTAGTCAACATTTCCATAATACAGTACGGTACAATGAATAACAACGACTTCATCATACAACGTGTTGTAAAATAACCTTAACTATAACCCTTATCCTAACTCTAACGACCTATTAACACACTGTTCAAACAGTACTTAAGAGTGATCTGGGTGAAATTCGCTCCTTAGCTGGTGAATAGCGTTCAAATTTGCTCTAAAATAATGACAGGTTCCGTCAGCCAATGACTAGCATGCATTCAAAGTCACTGGAACGTTCACACCCCTGGAAGTCTAAAATAGTACAAAATTCACCCAAAATATTGGGAAGATTAGTGATATAATGAATGTACAATAAGCAGCGTATTTGACTACTATCCTTTGGTTGGTTTTTTGTCTAACTTGACTAGAATGCGCCTGTCGTCTTTTTCTCACCTTTCATCACCATTCACCTTAGCCTTCTTTATTGTTATCATCATAGTATTCTTAACTTTTCACATCATAATTAGTTATGAATAAATCCGGGTCTAATGAATTTTTCATTACTTAAAATTATACAATAATCCAGATAGTTTCAGAATTAAGAATGAATTTTGTAGTTATAATACAAAAATATAAAACTTCACAAAGCTATTTATCAAAGTAAACGCACAATTACTGACTAAATAAATTAAAATTTATAAACTCACGTTAAACAGAAAATAAGAGGGTTCTCAAAACTGCTCGGAAATGAATATTAATCCAACATGTAGGTCCACAGTAAAGCTGTATTATATAATGAATAATAATATAAGCAGTTGTAACGGCATGATATAAAAAGCAATTTTTTAACCAATAGCGCAAAGGAACACATCAACTACCAATCACAACTCGGGAAGATCTGACTTTCTCTAGTCTACTGGATTTTGATTGGTTGAATACAAATCCATGACCTTTTCATATGACCTAACTACAGCAACATGTTTGTTAACTTGACGACGTATATCTAGGTCATTCATGTCAATAAACAAAAGTGAAAAGATGCATTATCTTTGGTTTTCTTTCTCTCATACACTTTGTGTTTGTTTGTTAGTGTAGACTGATGTGGATCTCGTTTTCGTGAAACAATAGATTTTGTAAGCGAAGAGTGCTGATATAATTTTTCATTAATATCGTAATCGTGTACACGATTACTCTTGGGCGTCAGGGGCACAGCGGCTAGGACTCTCGCTGACCACGTACATGGTCCGGGATTCAGTCACCTACCAACTCACACCTGATATGAATGGTCGGCCTGCAAAGTTTGGACTACCGATATCACATGCTGAAAATTTCATACTTGTACCAAAATTTCCGCCGTGGAATCTAGCAATGATCAAAATTAAAAAAATAAATATGTAACTTATACACAGAAGGTCCGAGTTTCAACAAAATAATTTTATGAGATAAGAAAACAATTTAATAGAATTTTTGATTTTCCCGTCGACTGATTGGACCTAAGTGCTCGGCCTAAGGTTGACATGTCGGCTTCTTGTGCAGGTGTCCGACGATGTCTGATAAACGAGAACCAACTTAGCTGCAGGATAGGTTGTGGTTTATGAGATATTCAATCTTCTGCTGATTATTTATGCACTTTTATCACCTTTGAGGCTGAGTCGTATAAACATAGACTTCTGTTCATTGTGGTTTGTTTTGCATTTAAATCTACACATCTTCCGGACTTTTTAATACTTTTTACAACATCTTAAGAGTCGAACATTTTCCTTACTATTTTTTAGAAAGGTATATACTTCTGATTTTATAAAACAGAAACCTAACCAGTACTCGTTTGTAATAAATAGCAATTTAAGTATTGTCCATTTTCCATAGCCTTCTAGTGAGTAGATTCCTGACGACTTTTATCTTCCAAGCATTGCATGGCTATGTCAAGGAAATTAAACTTCCCGTTACTTTCATGTGCCGCAGTGAAGTTACTATTTTCATTTGTGTCGCTGAATAAATATTCGAAGTAGGTAGGACGCATGATTTCTCTTGTTCCACATTAAGAATGCACCATCAGAATATCTAAAATAACACGTTGTTTCCCTGATAGCTTTCTTCTCTCAAGATTACAGACAAAATGTGTGTTAATACAGAGCTAAGTGAACTGCCCTTAGCTACATCATCTTTTTGACATACCTCATTTATCCTGTAGTACAGTTCACCTGAAGTTTATGAATTCAAGCTGAATACCTGCCATGTTTCTGGTCCTCGTTTGAGCTCTTTTGAGTATATGCATTTTGAAACAGTTATTTTGAATAATGTTTCTTGCTAAGTCTAGTAAATTAACAACAAAATTAGTAAGGAATACAGTTTTTAATTCTAAGATGCTGGTTTTGCAAGGATTTAATTGATTTTTTAGTTCAGTCACGAATACACCCATCGCCATCTCAAGGGTCGAACCTATGGCCTTCTGCTTTCAAGACAACCCCACTGACCATTCAGCCATAGCTCGTTATCAAACTTAGAATCGAACAAATCCCAGCAAACTGACACTTAAAAATCAATTGAATGCACATTAGTGATTGACTACTACAGGGTGAAGTTGACTGAAGTTCTAGTGGATATTCGTGACCAGGAGGGTCCATCAAGTAGAATTCGAGGACAAATACAAGCAAATTGTATTGGCTGAGGGTCACTCTATATATCACATGAGCTACTGGATCATATCCCAAGAGCTGAATGGCCATTAGGTTCGCTTTGTAACCTGAAGATCCTGAGTTATAGCCCTGGATTTTGAGTCATAGGTGTGTACTCCTGAAGAGTCGCAGAAGAGGACAAGGCAGCTGTCCATTACTCCTCGGTTTTCAGTGATCCTCTAACTGAATCTTTTACTCATAAATATTTCTTCTTTAATATGATAGCATTTATTCTTCAGGATTCTTCATTATTCACATTCTTGAGTGGAACTCATCAACTGTGAATATTGTCATCATTTTAATTTTGATGCTGTTTATCTTGACGTCATTGAAAGTGAAATCTGATCCAAGTAGTTTCTCCCATTTATTACTCTTCAGACAAATGTACCAACACAGTTAAGAGCGTTGATATTCCTTCTATGATCTTAGTGAAGCATTTACCTCTCTCTCTCTCTCTGAATACATGTCAGCAAACAGATCTTTATTCCAGTTGGCATCACGAGCTGACATCACTCAGAGAACCATATTAGATCAGGTCCTAGTGGCTGAATGATCTACGAGTTTGACTTGTAACCTAAAGGTCCTGGGTTCAAACCCTGGTGGTGGATGTCTACTGATAAGGAGTCCCAAACTAGGAGAAAAACATCTGACTAGTACTCCCTGATGGTTTTCCAATAGTTCTGTAACTGATGTCAACTATTCGTGATCAATCCTGTAGCCAGTTAAAATCGCTGGAAGCTAACACTTCATATGTCTATCCATAATTTCACTATAAAGCTGTGTTAATTAACAACAAAGGACATAGGGTACTTTCAACTAATAACAAAAAATAAGTTAAAGTATATGAGAAATAACAATGTATGAAAAATAGTGAATAATCATATGTAATCGAGAAGGTTGACAACTATTTGGCTAAGTGATCAATAATCATTTGAAAATAAGTGATGAGAAACATAAGAACAAAGGACTGAAAATGGGTTACAGAGAACAAATAAACAAAAATACAAGGATATTCGAGAGTTGGTTTGTAGGGATTTGATTGGTTACAGGATTTCATCATGAGCTGACATTAGTTAGAGAACCATTGGAAAACCTGGAAGTACAGGACAGCTGTTTCGTCCTAGTTTGGGACTCTTCATCAGTACGCACCCACCGGGGCTCGAGAAGTCATGACCAGTAGGGTGCAGCAGGTCGGGTGTGAGGACAAATACTCGCCGAAGACATTGGCTAGTGGTCGCGCTATGTCTTGAATTGGCAGAAGTTAGAATTCATGGACTGGCCATTGGATCGGGTCCCAGTGGCTTAATGGTCTACGAGCTCGCCATAGTGGGTTCAAACCCTGGTGTGTAATGCTGAAGAGTCCCAAACCAGGACTAAACAGTTGTCCAGTACCCCTTGTTTTCCAATGGTTCTCTACCCAATGTCAGCTGATGATGAAATTCTGTAACCAAAAAAGGACTTTGTAGGTTTCAAGATCTCATCATAAGCTGATATCGGTTAGTGAACCACTGGTAAACCCACCAGGGAGCTAGCCAGACAGCTAGCTGTTTCGTCAGCCTGGTTTAGAACTCTTCATCAGAACGCATCCACCAACAGTACTGGAACCCAGAACCTTTCGGTCACAAGTGCTCATAGACCATTACGCCAATGGGACCTGACCCAATGGCAAGTTCATGAATTCTAATTTTTGCCAATTCACGATATAGCGTGACCACTGTCAGCCAGAGGCATCGGTGGCGAGTTTTTGTCTCCTCACACCTCACCTGTTGTATACGGTTTATTGCATAACAATACACGAAATTTAAAAATGACACTAAGGCTGTAATTATACAAGACGTTGTATAAAGCTTTCCTGCACAAAAAGTTTCGACTGTTTTCTAATGGATAGCTAGAACTTCGGCTGTATGGACAAGATACATTCGAAATCCTATTAAATTCCCACGTATTACTTCATAGACATGACTCTGAATGAAGTTTCTGTCTATGCTACCTGACCGGAAGTAATAATATGCTATAGAATTGAGCTGTTGACCTATTTATTTTACTAGCTGACAATCAACTCGAACCTTTGTTGTTGTTGTCAATTAACATTTTATAATATAAACCCCCTAGATTCATAAGAAAAGGACGTAAACAGCGAGGAGAATTTTCTTTCTGACAATTCATTCTCATAAGCTATACAATCGTATTTATGCTTAGCAAACAAACAAACTCATAAGACCAATGAATTATTAGAAAATGTATTACACAATGTAGCGTGTAATCTAGATATGGATGGCTAGTTGAAAATTAGTAAAAGGGGGTAGAAGTTGGGATGACGTAATAGGTGATGTGATGAGAGAAATGATTAATCAATAAAATTACGTAGTGGGGACACAAACAAGTGGAAAGACGATAAACAATATTAAATTGGTAATAATATAATAAAGATTATGAGAATTTTCTATAGTTTGGTTTGTATGACTTACACAATAAAATGAAGTAAAATTATGGTAAGACCGTTACTCTGGACACTGTATGGCGAGTGAATGTATGTAGTGTTTTTGAACTCTATGATCTGGTTTCAGATCCTGAATAGCCAATGATTCACTTATGTATAGATGGAGCATTCGACGTCCTTCGTGGGATATTGAGGAACTCTACGGAGCAGTCATGTGGAGCTGCCGGATGTCCAGAAGTGATGAAATCTTAGAGGATAGAATTACTGATATGCTTCTTGTCTCATATGGCTAGTCTGGCTGGAAAGTGTTCCAGAATACGTTTACGGAATTGATGTTGACTGCGGCCGATGTATCCTTTCCCCTACACGAAAAAAGTAAACTGATAAATACACATTGAGACGGCTAAAAGCGGTATCTTATTCTCAACGCTTGACTCAACTAATTGTCTTTTGGAGAATCCAATACGTAAGGTAGTTTCTTGAAATGTCTTCTTCAGACATTTAGGATAGGAGTTTTCTGCGAATTTCTGCATCAGTGCCACTACTTAAATCTAGTTCATGAAAAGAGTTTTCTTAGGAGGAGTCGCAATGTTGGGTACAGGAGGCTTTACTTTCAAGTTTTTGTTAATAAATCTGACCAGATACCCGTTCTCCAGTTGGGTTACGCGTAGTGGTTTTAATTCATTCTCTTTCGACTTCTTCAGCAAAGAGCAGGTATTTCATATATATATACTTAGATTAAACACGAGTCAGTAACT